CATGTGGCGGGGAGGCCGGCTCTTGTCCTGTTGCTGTGTGGCCATCCACGTGGTCCTGAGCTGCCTCAGTGCGGGGGCGGCAGCCCCGAAGGAGCATTGCGATCCCTGACTCCAGCGAGATGAGGCCACGGCCTCCTGGGCACGGAGCCAGGGTGGGGTCCCGCCCAGACCTGCCGTATCAGTGCTTGGGGCTCCAGGATGCGGGATGGAACCCCTCCCTGGGGAGTCAGCTCCTCCTAGCCTGGACACACGGGCCACCAGTGTCCTCTGGAGTCCAGTGTCCCCGCAGCTTGGCCCCCACTGCCCACACACTGGCCTGCTCTCTGTGGGTGCCCATCCACTGGTCCCCAGCCACCTGCTCTGCATCTGCTCCAGGTCTCGGGGTTCCCCAGGCTTCCCTTCGAACTTCCACCCTATGTTCCTCAGGCTGGCCCCAGGTCTGTCCAACCCTGCCACCCCACCAGAACCAAAGGCCTTGATCCTCCGGGGAAGCAGAGTGGCCACCCTGCCCCAGGGCACATGTGTCCCCCCTCAGGCCCTCTGGGAAGCAGAGCAGATGTGGCAGAGCCCAGCTAGGAGGGGCAGGGCTGGGCTGGGAGGGGCTGTCCAGTAGCCCACCAGCACCTGCCGCCTCACGGCCTCACGCCAAGTGCTGCGGGCCTGGAGCTGGGCACCTGTGCCGAGGCACCGCTTCCCTGGGGCTGCCCTGGGCCCCAGTCCCTTCCCACCTGTGCGTTTGCCCAGGACCCTCCAACCAGAGATGGTGGGGTCTGGCTTCTCACGGGGGCAACGGCTCCCGAAAAAGCGGTAGGGAGGAGAACCACGGTGCAGCCCCTGCCCCAGCCACTGCATCCAGGACGGACCTCCCGTGGCCTCGCCAGACAGCAGGGCCTCCCGCTGTGGAAGAATGCTGGGGCACCTGTAGCCATTGGCTGCGGGGTGGCGTTCTGTCGCACTTCCCAGAAGTGACTCTTACCCTCAGCCCACCACAAGTGGCGCCTGCTGGCGGAAGGAAGGCACGTCGGCTGGCCACTCCAGCGTGTTCCACATTGTGGCTTCCGGGCCTTTCTCTGGACCCCGCTCCTCCCGCTCCTGCTCCGGGAGTTGCGTCCTGCTCTCCGGCTGGGGCGCCCCCAACACCCCCTTGCCTCGCCCCAGTGCAGGTCCAGGGCTGTGCCTATGGCAGCAGCGGCCACGCCCCACCCGGTTTCTCCAAGCATCTTGCCGCAGGTGGAATCCGGCCGAAGTCTGGGACATTTTAAGGGCCCCCGTAAATGTTCCCCGGGAGCCTCTGGGAGTTACCCCAGCATGTGGTGCCTGCCTCGTGGTTTGAGGGCTGCTGGCGGGCTGCCCTCCCTTCAGTGCACTGATGCCCTTCGGTCCAGGGCTCCAAGCGCATCCTGAGGTCCCATGAGGTCGTGCTGCCCCCCAGTGGACAAGTGGAGACAGACCTGGCCCTGACCTTCTCGCTGCAGGTGGGTCTTCTCTCCATCTTAGCTTTTCTTTTCTGTTCCGACCAGAGGGCAGGGTGCTCAGCACACACAGACACGCAGACGGGGTGGGGAGAGCACTCCCACAGCCTCCGCCGGGTCTCCATCCCAGGGATTCGGGGCGCGCACGCGCCTGTTGTGTTTTCAAGCCTGCCAGGGCCAGGGTTGGCCTGTGCGTGCACTCAGCCTTATGGGCCACAAGGCCCCGAAACTGGCCCCATCATAGCTCTTACTTTTGCCAAAGGGCTCTTGTAATCACCGGGGAGAGACAGAGACAGAGAGAGGGAGTGCACAAAAGCCACGTGCTGGGCACACAGTGGTCCTTGCCCCGTCTCCCCCTCCCTTTGGGATCCTGGGCACACAATGCCTGGTGAGTTTCTGGATCGCTGGGTCTAGGGCTTAAAACTGCGTGCTCAGGGGTGTCGAGTCTAGTCGCCTTAACCACCAGCCTTGGGGTGCCCCATAACTTGTTCTTGAATGATAGCAAATTTACTTTGGTTTAATTGGTCAAGCGTTCACCCCATTCCCGGACGAAGACACTGATGAGGCCAGGGGCCAGCGTCCAGGGTAGTGCCAGCTTATTCCCGTGTTTGGGAAGGACGAGGTTACACAGGACCCCAGTGTTCGAGGTCTGAGTATCTTGGGGCACACCTGGCAGTGAGTCGAGCTGACAGCTCCATTTTGACGAGGCTCTGGGTACCTCTTGGGACACCCCTGAGCCATGGCCTGCGGGGAGGCCCGCCCAGTCCTAGTGGCCCGGGTGGCAAGCTGTCCCACATGGGTGTGGCGTGTGTGTTACAGCCCGGCGTAACCTCACGGAGCGGGGATGCTTCCTCTGGCTCTACTGCACCTGCTGAAGGCAGGTACACCCATTAAAGCATGTGAGAGAGCCTACGGCAGGACCCCGGGCCCACCGTGCACAGGAGCTGATGGCCACGGGCAGCTCGGGGTTTGCTTGTGTTCGTCACAGCGTGCGCATGCGTGCTGCAGAGTAGAGAGATACAGGGGAAGGGGAAGGGGAGAGCAAGAAATCGCCCCGTACTGGGGTGGCCACGGCACAGTCCCTTCTCCGGATCTTGGGCGTGCACGCACAAGTGCAATGTGATTTTCTTTTTTTTTTTTTTCCTTTTTTTTGGGTCACTTATAGGACTTTTTATTTGTCACTATTAAAAGTCTGAACTTTCTTTTTTTTTTTTTGGAGAGGTTTTTGCTATAGGGCACGTGCGCTCGCCAGACAGACAGAGAGAGAGAGAGAGACAGAAAGGGAGAAATCATCCCCCAGAGGGGATGGTCACGCCGCAGTCCCTTCTCCTCCATTCTCCTCTCGGGATCTTGGGCACGCACGCACACGTGCCCAGTGTGAGTTTAAGCCACCGGCTCCAGGACTCGAACTGTGGTTGACTACGTGGGAGTCCAGCAACATAGCCATTATGCTAACTGCTGGTCCCAGAAGTCTGAACTTTAAACAGATTCTTGGACTGGTGGTTCGTACCCATCAGCTGGTTCCACTTTGGGGCCCGCCTCATCCCCAGGAGCGTTTCCAGAGCTACTGCCTTCACCGTGAAGCTCCACGAGTTTCCCAATTCGAACTCGGGCTTCCTAGCCTTCTTTCTCTTCTGACAAAGATGTCATGGAGAGGGTGGATGGGCAGGCCTTTCTGTGTCTGTCCCAGCGCCGTCTGGGATTGCTTCATTGCCCACTTCTTTCGAATCATTCGTCTGCGCCTGCCGGGTCACGATTGCCATCATCTTCTTCCGGATGTACGGACCTGCTGCAGGGCGGGAGTGGGCTTCCATATCTGGTAAACCCAACAAGAAGAGGTGAAGCAGATAGCCACTGGTCGTCTTGGCGTCGACGTGAGCTTCAGTGATGGCCTGCCATTTTTTTACCATGGAACACATTTGGTCACGGGCGAGATCCATGCCGTGGAAGTTAGGCAGGCAGTTTTTGCCCTGAATGTGCTCAGTAATTAGCTTGAATTTCCTCAGTGCGACCGCGTCATTCTGCAGATCCGCAAGGCTGACTGCAGACACACGGCCCTTAAGGCGGTCAGACGCCGTCTTGGTCCCTCGAGCCCTGCGACTAGTGTCTCCCCAGTGCTTATGAGCATGGCAGGTGCTTTCACGTCATAGCAGTCTGTTTTAGAAAGCGGATCAACCACTTTCTTCTTGGCTCCCTTTTTGCCAAGGTGCTTACTCCTGCCGACCGCCACGGTGCTGCTCAGAGAGCCAGAAGCACACAGTGTGAGTCCCAAGCTGTGGGGTCCAGGACTTGGTGCCACACCGGCCAAGTGGGAGCCCAGAGCTTCCACCACCATGCTGGCCCCGGCTTTGGGTTTTGTAGCCAGCCTTGTGGAGAGTTCAGGGTGTAGCTCACACACGTGCCATGCATCCTTCGAAGCACGTTTTTCCGTGGGTTTTGACATGTGTGCACAGGCAGGAGAGGGCCCCACTGCCGAGGTGGACCCCAGCTTCCCGTGTTATGTCCAGCAGAGCCTGCGAGCTTCCGCCTCGCACACGCGAGCTCCGCGGGCTGGGCGGGGCTGTGCTCTCGCGGTGGCCTTGGACAGCTGACTGCCCTGGCTGCGCAGGCCATGCCCCAGCGGGGTCGCGTCCCTGGAGTGCCTGTGACCTGAGGGACAGTCCCGCAGCGCTCCGAGGGTGTGGGGCGGAGCGGCCGAGCCGGGCCGCAGCCGCTCTGCGCAGACTCGCAGCAGGCGGGCGGGTGCTCAGGCGTGGCTCCTTTGCCTGCAGTACCCTCACTTCTTGAAAAGGGAAGGCAACAAGCTTCAGATCCTGCTCCAGCGCAGGAAACGCTACAAAAACCGAACCATCCTGGGCTACAAGACGCTCGCCGCCGGCTCCATCAACATGGCCGAGGTGCGTGCTCTGTGCGGGAGGTGTCGCTCGCGTCTCCCTCACCGTGGCCAGGGCTTCAGGCTGGGCCCCGGTGGTGCCGAGGACGGCCCGCGGTGGGACGACCGCCCTGGCCCACCCCTGCCCCACTTGGCAGTGGCCCCTCGCCCCTGTAGGCCCCTCCTCTCCTATGCACCCTGATATCTGGCCTGTGCCGAGTCCGGCTCAGCTCATGCCGGGCCCAGGGAGATGGACAGCCTGCAGTTGGGGTAGGCGGTGCGGAAGGCAGGTGTGCAGTGAGGGCTGATGGCGGCCACCCTTGGGAGTGTGTGTGGTCCCCTGCCCAGGGCCCGGCCCGGTGTGGGCTCCAGGAGGGCTGACCGGTCCTTGTGCTGCGGGGCCGTCCTAGGAGGGGCTGCCTCGGGGTTGCCTCTAGCCCGTGCACCACCCTGCCAGGCCAGCCCGGAGGGCGGACAGCTGGGTGTCTGGGCTGTCACGGGGACATTGAAGAGGCGCTGGCACACAAGGCCCATGCTATGCCCCTCCCTCGCCAGCCCCACCTGCCCGCACCTGGCCCCATGAGCAACGGTAGCCTGGGACCCCTCCCCATGGGGAGCGCAAGGTCGGAGCTGGCTCACCCGCTCTGCTGGCTAGCTCAGCCGAGACTCGGCCAGGTGGCGAGGTGGCGACAGCACGGTGGAGCGAGTGCACCGGCGGGGCCGGCGCGCTCACAGACCTCCCAGCGGCATGAGGGGCCTTCTGGCACATTCTGAAATGATGGAGCGGGCAGCTGTGAGCTTCCTCAGAAATGCCATTTTCTTCCTGCTTAAAATCTTGCCTCCCCAAGTCAGGCTCCCAATTTTAAAAACCCTAAGCCATAAACCCTAACGTGGGTGTCTCGCGGACGGCCCCAGAGGTGCCTGTAGGATGCAGAGGCCCCAAGTCTGCAGCCGTGTGAGGCACCGTTCCCATGTGCCCTCTGAGGCTACACAGCTCAGGAGCCGGTGCTGTGGGCGCGACCTGGTGCCTGGGGCTCAGCCGCCCTCGGGTGTCTGACTGTCAGCGCGGATGGGCCCGACTGACCCCAGCCAGGCCTCTTGGTGTCTGCTGCCAGAGACCTGGCCAGCCCAGCCTCTTCTCCACCCTCGCAGTGGAGGCCCAGCGTGGGGCAAGGCGGGGCCTGCAGGGGTCACACAGTGCCCGTGTCCCAGTGGCCTATGGGCATCCACTCTGCCCACCCTCAGCAGCAGTGGCCAAGCCAGTGGTGGCCTGCCTGCCCACCCCCTGCTCTCTTCCCATGGCCGTCCACCAGAGCTCCGTCCACCAGGGTCTCTGTCCACCAGAGCTTCAGTCTACCAGAGCCCCTGTCCACCAGGGTCCCGCAGCCACCAGGGTCCTGTCCACCAGAGCCTCGGTCCACCAGAGTCCCCTCCACCAAATCCCCCCATCCATCAAAGCCTCTGTCCACCAGAGCCTCTGTCCATCAGAGCCCCCGTCCACCAGGGCCTCCACCCACCAGAGCTCTGTCCACCAGGGCCTCCATCCACTAGAGCCCCCGTCCACCAGAGCCCCCGTCTACCAGGGACCCCATACACCAGGGCCCCATCCACCAGGGCCCTGTCCACCAGGGCCTCCATCCACCAGGGCCCCCCCATCTACCAGG